AAAGGTGAGGCACTAGACCATGCACTAAGAGGATTGAGTTAGAAGGAAAGACTTTGTGAAATAGACACCACATGACGGTGGAAGATAGAAGAACTTGGGGAGATGTGAGCGCTACCTACAAATTCTAATTTAGTTTTTTAACTGTGTGATTACACCATATACCTCATCGCCTCTTTTTCTTTCTCTCACCAGTCAATAAACAATCTTTGTATCATTTCTAGACTAAAACAGCACTCTGAAACATCTTTGCACATCTTAATTTTCATTGACACGTGCACAGTCAATTGAAATTTATATAGATGGCATACGTTTCATGCCATCAAAGAGAATCTCACTACTGCATGGGTGTCTTCTGATAAATAAACTGTCTTTACCTAGCCTATCATTTCCTTTGAGAAACTTGTATGTGGTGATCATATCTTCTGAGTCCACACAAAACTCACACAACATGCAACTTCTGTTTTCAAATCTTATCATGTGAGATATGAGACATTTTCTAGTTTGAAGTTCTCAGGCAGTCTTGGTGAAATAGCATCTACCAACACTCGTCAAATTCAGTAATTCAATCAGTCAAACAGCAAGAGTGGACTGAAGTAAGTTTTACTGAAGTAAGCTTACTGAAGTTTACATTAAGAGAAAACATATGATGTGAGATACAATGATTTTTTTAGTTTAATGTTGTGTTGACCAGACCACACACTAGAAGGTGAAGGGACGAAACCTTCGTCCCTTCACGTTTAATGACAAACACAACACCATCACAGGTTTAATGATGTGTTTTATGAAGTTCCTGTTTCTTATATTTAGTGATTCCACCATGTCTTACGGTTCAGTCAATTCTTTATCTTTTTCAAATAATGTTTACTTACTGTTTTCATATAACGTTTCACACCACTTTCAATTAACATTTAGTCAGCCATTAGACTAATACTTTCTTTTATCTCTCACAGAAATCACATGATAGAAAACCTCCCTCAAATCTGTTTAGACCAACTCACACAAATACTTGTATTCAGAAGGAATATGTCGTTAACAGATAAAGAGTGAATTAGTTCATCATTCAATAATAGGATAGTTTATTACACCTTTTTCCTGTTTTTAACTCATCATCGCTTTTATGTAGTAATAAAACTTACTAATAATAGGCTTTATATAGTCACAATCAGCTCAAAAGTTTTTAGTCATTTATACCCATTGCAGTGCATAAGTTTATTGCTACATAAAGTTGTTCATGTGTAGTTTTATATTCTTCTACTAGTACTACTTCAACATCCAACCACACCTTCCTAACTTCAAGTTTGTATTTTCTCTCCAATATGCTAGAATTTAAATTTCCCCATCCTCCTTTTATTAAGTTTAACTTTTTACCAAACCATACACTTCCCTTCAATTCAAGAATTACTTTAGACAGTTCCAAACACGTCAACACCACTAATGTTTGGGATCACAGTTCGCACCTGACTGACTTAGTTTTGCATAGCAAGTTTTTTCAACTTTGTGTTTGTGTTTATTCTACATTACACAGTATTAAAACGATTTAAGATTCATTTAAACAGCACAGCTCATCTCATCACACAACCGGTCTGTTTCCTAGCATTCCTACATCAAATAGGGATTACATCTTCTATCTTACTATTTCACCTTCCGACTTCATGTTTTGTGTTTACTCTGCATTACACGGTATTTTAACGATAAAGGATCTTTTAAGCAGTTCAACACATCAAAACACTTGTTCTGTTTCATATCGCCGCTCTATAAAATAGAAATTCCATCTTCTATCCTACCAGTTCCTGTGCACATTCACAGTTACCGCTTACTGATTACCCCTGTTGTGTGGATCATAAGACTGCTTTCACAAAAAAACATTTATTTCTACTTGAACACAACCCACACAGCCTTTTATGCACATCTGAGCTTAACACACCGCACACGACTTTTACTTATTTGATATTTTCTCATTCTTTTCAAATAATTTATAGGGAAGACTATTTTACATCATCTACGTTTAACATACGTTCGTTTACATTTATCATCCAATCATATGCATATATATGTTTTCTTCAAGTCGATTGCATTTATCCTTATGTGTTCCATATACATTCGCACCATCAAACCCGGAGAGTAATATTAAATTAGATCACGTGAAGCTGGATCGGTCACCGGTTCAAAACCCATCCCTGACCAGAGGTCGGGCTCGGACCTCCGGTCCAAGTTTTGGACCAGAGGTCCAAAACCTGGAGGTAGCACACCACGTCTGGTCACGTGCCAGATATACTGTTTCCCACGCCTCTCTAACCAAACCTTCCACATACTGCACCCAGTCTCATAGGTCTGGTGATGCCATGTGCTCCCACAGGTGTGTCCGGTGGCTCACCTGTACAGGTGTGTTCGGTTGCTCACCAGTACAGGTGGGTCCGGTTGCTCACCAGACAGGTGGGTCCGGTTGCTCACCAGTACAGGTGGGTCCGGTTGCTCACCAGTACAGGTGGGTCCGGTTGCTCACCAGCACAGGTGGGTCCGGTTGCTCACCAGTACAGGTGGGTCCGGTTGCTCACCAGTACAGGTGGGTCCGGTTGCTCACCTGTACAGGTGGGTCCTGTGGCTCACCTGTACAGGTGGGTCCGGTTGCTCACCAGTACAGGTGGGTCCGGTTGCTCACCAGTACAGGTGGGTCCGGTTGCTCACCAGTACAGGTGGGTCCGGTTGCTCACCTGTACAGGTGGGTCCTGTGGCTCACCGGTACAGGTGGGTCCGGTGGCACACCGGTACAGGTGGGTCCGGTGGCACACCGGTACAGGTGGGTCCGGTGGCACACCGGTACAGGTGGGTCCGGTGGCACACCGGTACAGGTGTGTCCGGTGGCACACCAGTACAGGTGGGTACGGTCGCACACCTGTACAGGTGTGTACGGTGGCACACCTGTACAGGTGTGTACGGTGGCACACCTGCACAGGTGTGTACGGTGGCACACCTGCACAGGTGTGTACGGTGGCACACTGGTACAGGTGTGTATGGTGGCACACCTGTACAGGTGTGTCCGGTGGCACACCGGTACAGGTGGGTACGGTCGCACATCTGTACAGGTGTGTATAGTGGCACACCTGTACAGGTGTGTCCGGTGGCACACCGGTACAGGTGTGTCCGGTGGCACACCGGTACAGGTGTGTCCGGTGGCACACCGGTACAGGTGTGTACGGTGGCACACCTGTACAGGTGTGTACGGTGGCACACCTGTACAGGTGTGTACGGTGGCACACCTGTACAGGTGTGTACGGTGGCACACCTGTACAGGTGTGTACGGTGGCACACCTGTACAGGTGTGTACGGTGGCACACCTGTATAGGTGGCGTGCGTGTGGTTCTAGTCCTCAACTTCACTACACTCACAATCAGGGGCGTCAACAGCCTCACAATCAGGGGTGTCAACAGCCTCACAATCAGGGGCGTCAACAGCCTCACAATCAGGGGCGTCAACAGCCTCACAATCAGGGGCGTCAACAGCCTCACAATCAGGGGCGTCAACAGCCTCACAATCAAATATGACGAGGAAAAACATCTGGGCTAAGATGACAGACGAACGGAACAACAGCGGACGACAGACGGACGGGACATGAGCGGACGACAGACGGACGGGACAACAGCGGACGACAGACGGACGGAACATGAGCGGACGACAGACGGACGGGACATGAGCGGACGACAGACGGACGGAACATGAGCGGACGACAGACGGACGGGACATGAGCGGACGACAGACGGACGGGACATGAGCGGACGACAGACGGACGGGACAACAGCGGACGACAGACGGACGGGACATGAGCGGACGACAGACGGACGGGACAACAGCGGACGACAGACGGACGGAACATGAGCGGACGACAGACGGACGGGACAACAGCGGACGACAGACGGACGGGACATGAGCGGACGACAGACGGACGGAACATGAGCGGACGACAGACGGACGGGACATGAGCGGACGACAGACGGACGGGACATGAGCGGACGACAGACGGACGGGACATGAGCGGACGACAGACGGACGGGATATGAGCGGACGACAGACGGACGGGACATGAGCGGACGACAGACGGACGGGACAACAGCGGACGACAGACGGACGGGACATGAGCGGACGACAGACGGACGGGACATGAGCGGACGACAGACGGACGGGACATGAGCGGACGACAGACGGACGGGACAACAGCGGACGACAGACGGACGGGACATGAGCGGACGACAGACGGACGGGACAACAGCGGACGACAGACGGACGGAACATGAGCAGACGACAGACGGACGGGACATGAGCGGACGACAGACGGACGGGACATGAGCGGACGACAGACGGACGGGACAACAGCGGACGACAGACGGACGGGACATGAGCGGACGACAGACGGACGGGACAACAGCGGACGACAGACGGACGGAACATGAGCGGACGACAGACGGACGGGACAACAGCGGACGACAGACGGACGGGACATGAGCGGACGACAGACGGACGGAACATGAGCGGACGACAGACGGACGGGACATGAGCGGACGACAGACGGACGGGACATGAGCGGACGACAGACGGACGGGACAACAGCGGACGACAGACGGACGGGACATGAGCGGACGACAGACGGACGGGACATGAGCGGACGACAGACGGACGGGCACATGAGCGGACGACAGACGGACGGGACAACAGCGGACGACAGACGGACGGGACATGAGCGGACGACAGACGGACGGGACATGAGCGGACGACAGACGGACGGGACAACAGCGGACGACAGACGGACGGGACATGAGCGGACGACAGACGGACGGGACAACAGCGGACGACAGACGGACGGGACAACAGCGGACGACAGACGGACGGGACACAAGGAAGGACATGAAGGACAGAAGATAATGCTGTACAGAAAACACTGAAAATTTAGGATGACGAATAGAAATTGCAACAGAAAAGTTATGCATTAGGCTCGTGTTTGTGTCCAGACAACTGATGTTTGTGTCCAGACCACTGATGTTTGTGTCCAGACAACTGATGTTTGTGTCCAGACCACTGATGTTTGTGTCCAGACAACTGATGTTTGTGTCCAGACCACTGGTGTTTGTGTCCAGACAACTGATGTTTGTGTCCAGACAACTGATGTTTGTGTCCAGACCACTGATGTTTGTGTCCAGACAACTGATGTTTGTGTCCAGACAACTGATGTTTGTGTCCAGACCACTGATGTTTGTGTCCAGACAACTGATGTTTGTGTCCAGACAACTGATGTTTGTGTCCAGACCACTGATGTTTGTGTCCAGACAACTGATGTTTGTGTCCAGACAACTGATGTTTGTGTCCAGACAACTGATGTTTGTGTCCAGACCACTGATGTTTGTGTCCAGACAACTGATGTTTGTGTCCAGACCACTGATGTTTGTGTCCAGACAACTGTTGTTTGTGTCCAGACACAACTGGTGGACGCATTAAGCTGGTGTTTGTGTCCGGACACAACTGGTGGAGGCACTTCAGGGGACGAGACCTGAGCGTGCAGGTGGGGAGACTCGTGTCTGGGGATGGAGGCTCAGCGGCTCGCTATCACAACACGGGAAGATGTTAGACTAAAGATGCGCTTTAGGAACACTTAATTGATGTCTTGAAGTGGAGACTTGGAGTGTAAACACGAGGGTGTGTTTGTGTCGGCAGTGACGTCGTGAGGGTGTGTTTGTGTCTACAGTGACGTCGTGAGGGTGTGTTCGTGCCTACAGTAACTTCGTGAAGGTGTGTTCGTGTCGGCAGTGACGTCGTGAGGGTGTGTGTTCGGGTCGACAGAGACGTCGGGAGGATGTGTTCGTGTTGACAGTGACGTCGTGAAGTTGTGTTTGTGTCTACAGTGACGTCGTGAGGGTGTGTTCGTGTCTACAGTGACGTCATGAGGGGGTGTTCGTGTCTACAGTGACGTCGTGAGGGTGTGTTTGTGTCTACAGTGACGTCATGAGGGGGTGTTCGTGTCTACAGTGACGTCATGAGGGGGTGTTCGTGTCTACAGTGACGTAATATGAGTGTTCGTGTCTACAGTGACGCCGTGAGGGTGTGTTCGTGTCTACAGTGACGTCATGAGGGTGTGTCGTGTCGGCAGTGACGTCGTGAGGGTGTTTGTGTCTACAGTGACGTCATGAGGGTGTATTCGTGTCTACAGTGACGTCATGAGGGTGTGTTCGTATCTACAGTAACGTCGTGAGGGTATGTTTGTGTCCACAGTGAAGTCGTGAGGGTGTGTTCGTGTATACAGTGACATCGTGAGGGTGTGTTCGTGTATACAGTGACGTAATATGAGTGTTTGTGTCTACAGTGACGCCGTGAGGGTGTGTTAGTGTCTTCAGAGACGTCGTGATTGTGTGTTTGAGTCTACAGTGACGTCGTGAGGGTGTGGTCGTGACTACAGTGACGTCGTGAGGGTGTGTTAGTGTCTACAGTGACGTAATATGAGTGTTTGTGTCTACAGTGACGCCGTGAGGGTGTGGTCGTGACTACAGTGACGTCCTGAGGGTGTGTTAGTGTCTACAGAGACGTCGTGAGGGTGTGTTCGTGACTACAGTGACGTCGTGAGGGTGTGTTAGTGTCTACAGAGACGTCGTGAGGGTGTGTTAGTGTCTACAGAGACGTCGTGAGGGTGTGTTCGTGACTACAGTGACGTCGTGAGGGTGTGGTCGTGACTACAGTGACGTCGTGAGGGTGTGTTCGTGACTACAGTGACGTCGTGAGGGTGTGTTCGTGTCTACAGTGACGTAATATGAGTGTTTGTGTCTACAGTGACGCCGTGAGGGTGTGTTAGTGTCTTTAGAGACGTCGTGATTGTGTGTTTGAGTCTACAGTGACGTCGTGAGGGTGTGGTCGTGACTACAGTGACGTCGTGAGGGTGTGTTAGTGTCTACAGTGACGTAATATGAGTGTTTGTGTCTACAGTGACGCCGTGAGGGTGTGGTCGTGACTACAGTGACGTCGTGAGGGTGTGTTAGTGTCTACAGAGACGTCGTGAGGGTGTGTTCGTGACTACAGTGACGTCGTGAGGGTGTGTTAGTGTCTACAGTGACGTCGTGAGGGTGTGTTCGTGACTACAGTGACGTCGTGAGGGTGTGGTCGTGACTACAGTGACGTCGTGAGGGTGTGGTCGTGACTACAGTGACGTCGTGAGGGTGTGTTCGTGACTACAGTGACGTCGTGAGGGTGTGGTCGTGACTACAGTGACGTCGTGAGGGTGTGGTCGTGACTACAGTGACGTCGTGAGGGTGTGGTCGTGTCAACCCTGATGAAGAAGCAGCAGTGACTACTCCAGTAAGGGTGAGCAGTGACTACTTCAGCATGGAGCAACAGTGATTACCCCAGCGAGGGATTAGTAGCATCAGGAAGGAGATAAGAAGGTGTGGGTGGAGGTGGTGGAGGACCCGTGCTGGTGAACCACCAATGGTCCCGTCGTGACGAACCAGGCGGACGGTCTAGTGCCTGGAACCAGATCAATACTCCTGGACGAGCAACGTCCTCATGCTTGGACATGAAGGGGCGGCTCTATCAGAACCACCTCAGGTGAACCCTTCACGACACTCCACGTCGTTGAATTTGTGGTTCTACAAACTCGTGAACTCACCAGTGAGAACCACAACACTTGTGATTCACCCAACTGGTGAACCAGTGAAACCACACGACAGCCTTGCACAGCTAGAGCCTCGAAACCAGCCCAAAACCAAACCAGTCCAGGAATAGACCTTCAAAATCAGTCCCGATTCCCTGTGGAGGCGATCTCTGCAATTTCATCTTTAATAATAAACAGATAAACTGGGAGCAAATACACCACGACTACACAGAAATAAGCGGGGAATACAGCTAGAAAATGCAAACCTGAACCAGTGCCTGGAAAAAATAAGCTCAGCAGCACTAGAAATATGCTCAAACGGCATACCCTAAGAAATAAAAGAGGAAGAGATGAAGACTGGAACGGGAACGTCGTTTCCTCTATAAGCGAAAAACACGAATCTCGGAAAAACTTGAGAGTCGCACCCTATCTCAAGAACGGCGAAGAAGGTTAGGTAGAGATATATAAACAATTGAACTAAAGATATAGGAATCATACAAATCCCAAGAGAGCCAAAGAGAGCAAAAAGCCATCAGTGAAATAGAGAGAAATCCGAAAAAAAAAATTCTCCTATGCAAAATCAAGATAAAAAACCACATCTAGTATCGAGCCCCAGCAAAAGGGAGATGGAACTTTCACAGATGACAACAAAGAAATGGGCGAAATACTGAGGAATCAGTACGACGCTGTTTTCAGCGAACCACTAAACACACTGAAGATTGATAACCCAAATGAATTTTTCGTGGATATGATTCCAACATCAAATCACATATCAGATGTCACTATCCCCACTGGATTTTGAGAAAGCAATAAACAGTATGCGCTATGCACTCTGCACCAGGCCCTAATTCTTGGAACTCTATATTCATCAAGAACTGTAAAAAAAACTCTATCGCAGGCCCTGCACATTCTTTGGAGATAAAGCCTAGGCATTATCCCTGACATAATAAAAACAGCAGAGATAGCACCACTCCATAAAGGAGGAAATAAGGCAGAGGCAAAAAATTACAGACCGATAGCACTAACATCATACATCATAAAAATCTTTGAGAGAGTGCTAAGAAGTAAGATCACAAAATACATGGAATCACAGCATCTCCATAACCCCATATAACATGGTTTCAGAACAGGGCGCTCTTACCTGTCACAGTTGCTGGACCACTATGACATGGCATTAGATGCCATGGAAGACAAACAAAACGCTGATGTAATTTACACAGATTTCGCAAAAGCCTTTGACAAATGTGGCCATGGTGTTATTGCACATAAAATGCGTTCAAAATGAATTACTGAAAAAAGAAGGCAGATGGATCTACAATTTCCTGACTAACAGAACCCAATGTGTAATAGTCAATAAAATCAAATCCGGTCCATCAACCGTGAAGAGCTCAGTCCCCCAGGGTACTGTGCTTGCTCCAGTGCTTTTTGTCATCCTCAAATCGGCCAGCTACTTGGGCTGGACGGTAGAGCGATTTTCTCGCTTCATGCACGTCGGCGTTCAATCCCGGGCGGTCCAAGTGGTTGGACACCATTCCTTCCCACGTCCCATCCCAAATCCTTATCCTGATCCCTTCCAAGTGCTATCTATCTATCTATCTATTATACATATATATATATATATATATATATATATATATATATATATATATATATATATATATATATATATATATATATATATATATATTGGTGTATACTGGCAGCAGGTTTTCTTTCAAACATGTTTCATTGAATATGACCGCATATTCTGTATTTATTATTTTCTGGTTTAGGGCTTCTATTCTTCTAACTATTTTCTTAGCATCAGGGCTTAATTGAAATAGGAGTTCTTCAAAATTCATTTTCGTACTTTTAAGGTGAAGAAAAGAAGTGATTTACTATAGAGTGTATTACACTGATTTATATAATTTGCACAACGTTTCGAACCTCCATGGTTCATTCTCAAGTGAACAGATCTTACAATACTAGTTGATTTTATAATATATATATATATATATATATATATATATATATATATATATATATATATATATATATATATATATATATATTATTAAATATGACCGAAAAAGTAAGATTAATAATTCTAACACGAATTTTCTCAATCTTTCGTACATTTCTTTTCACTGTTGGAGGTAATTCAAAAATCAATTCTCCAAAATTCATTTTTATTTCTAGTCTGACGCGACACGAGCGCGTTTCGTAAAACTTATTACATTTTCAAAGACTTTAGTTTACAAATACACAACTGAATAGAACTTACACATCTCCGATTTTGTTTATATCTACATTTGAGTGAGGTGGATGGGGTGAGGTGGCATTAATAGGGTATTAATTTCATCAACACAAGACAGAACAAGAGGTGGCATTAATAGGGTATTAATTTCATCAACACAAGACAGAACACGAAACAATGGGTATTGAAATGGAAGTGATTGTAGAAAGCCTATTGGTCCATATTTCTTGATGCTTCTATATTGGAGCGGAGTCTTGAGGTGGGTAGAATATAGTTGTGCATTAATTGGCTGTTGATTGCTGGTGTTGACTTCTTAATGTGTAGTGCCTCGCAAACGTCAAGCCGCCTGCTATCGCTGTATCTATCGATGATTTCTGTGTTGTTTACTAGGATTTCTCTGGCGATGGTTTGGTTGTGGGAAGAGATTATATGTTCCTTAATGGAGCCCTGTTGTTTATGCATCGTTAAACGCCTAGAAAGAGATGTTGTTGTCTTGCCTATATACTGGGTTTTTTGGAGCTTACAGTCCCCAAGTGGGCATTTGAAGGCATAGACGACGTTGGTCTCTTTTAAAGCGTTCTGCTTTGTGTCTGGAGAGTTTCTCATGAGTAGGCTGGCCGTTTTTCTGGTTTTATAGTAAATCGTCAGTTGTATCCTCTGATTTTTGTCTGTAGGGATAA